TGCATAAAATAGCATCTTGATGGTTGTTATTGGTCCATGCATGAGTTTGAAGTCTTATTATGAGCATTGTTAGACAAAAGTGGATGTTGGGTTCCATTAAGACATGCTACGGGTTAAAGTTGCAAACTTTATGTATTAGAACCCTAAAATGGAAGAGAATTGAGTGTTGGACCTTAGGGTTGAATGGATTACACACTAAATGGCTTAATGTGGCAAGAAGCCCAGTACGTTGGGCGTACATAGTGGTACGTTGCACATATTGGTGATCACTTACATCGAGTGTATGACTTGTAGTGGCTCCTTGTGGGCTTTTGATCTCTGGTTAGGTTTTGGACTTTTGGGCCTTAGTTAAGATTTAGGCCTTAAATTGTTTGAAGCATGAGTGGACCTTAGGATTTTATTATTAGGCCTTAAGTTGTACGAGTTTGGCCTTTTTGGGACCTGGGGCCATTATTGTGTTATTGGGCCAAGTTTGGGTAGGCCTATTATGGGTAGGGTAAAATGGTCTTTTACCCTAGGAGTTTAGGTTTGGGATTTAGACCCACGATTATCGTTTATAACTTTATTTTGATTACGGTTATTTGTTTGTGTTTAGTGTGAGATCTTTCAGTTCTGTAGTCGAGAATCCAGTTATTTATCAACAGACTGATGTGAATTTTCTCACTGTATCAATGGGTCGAAGGAACCAAGAACAACCCATTATTTGTGATATAGGATGCTAGCTATCTTTATGATGTGTATGAAAGACCATAATTTAGCCCCTGGTAGTTATGAAAGACCAAAATGTGGCCCCTGACATTTGAATGAAAGACCAGGATCTGGCCCCTAGCACCAGTCTGGAAGACCGGGATTTGGCCCTCAGAAGGCATTACTTGTAAGACTATGATTTGGCTCATATCACTAACTTATTTATGTATGATATATGGTACTTTGGGAAAACTCACTAAGCTTTTTGCTTACAATTTATATTTATGGTTTCAGGTATTTTCGGTACTAAGAGGAAGGGTCCGATGTAATGGCACAACATTCTCCCCACACTATTTTCTGCACTTTTTGATATTGTTACTCTGATAATTTGACGTTGTTACTATGTAATGGTTTTGGATCAATTTGATAATTGTAACACTTGTTGAAAAATGAAAAAATTTATCATGATTTTTGGGCCGTTACATTATCATGTCTTAAGGATATATGTGTCACCAAAAAAATACAGTTACTCACATCAAAAAATTACTAATGACATTTAAAAATTAACTACACACGGTAAATAATATGATACGTGTGAAAGTCCTTAAAGTTTGACACCAAGCCTAAAAACTCCTCATTCACAGGCCGACGAACTAACCGGATGTTGAACCTTCTTTTCCAACAGATATATCAGACAGACTCAAACCACATGTCCACATCATCATCATCAAGAGATCTATAAAAGATGTTCTTTTATGTTCCAGTTTTACTAGTCACTCAAAACAACTATATGAAACATATGTACTCGGAAGCCGTAACCAGAATCCGAGGTTAGGGAAAATCACAAAACTGGAAGCTAGTAACAAGACATATATGCCTCCTCCTAAAGGTCAATTCAAAGTCTCCAATATATATATATATAACATTTCGTCTCCATTACTTCGAGGATTTATGATAACTTCTTCGCAGAAAATACAATGCAAAAGAAAATGGCCTCCTTTCTACTGTCACAAAAATATCTAACCACCTATCTAAATACGTCTTTTGATAGATAGTCTCGCAGGTCGGTCGGTTCTTAAGTTTATCAAGAATATCCGCACCAATGACATGTTTGTAAAACATTGTAAGAAAAACATCGAAAATACATTTATGCTGCAAACGAATAAATTATTTAGTTTCAAAGTTACTTTAAACATCATTTCAAATTCTTTATGGCGTTCCGGATTGTAATGCTCTTCGTATTATGGATTGTTGTTTGTATTCCAGACTCGTTTTTTGTATTCTAAGTACGGAATGCTTATGAAGTTCTCTCTAGGATAAACCTAACTAGTTATCTAGTGTTATGAGTGTTAATGTGGCTAAATAAGTAGCTATCTAAGACACTGGATATGAATTAACACTACATTTCAAATACGTTCTTCACATTTGACCGATGTTCTTCACATTTTAGGCTAACATATTTAGTTATTAATTAAAAAAAAATATACAAGTAAATGAACCAAAAGTTTACCCGTAAAACATTCAACTCATCAGAATCGTATTCTATTTTTTCTTTCAAAAATATCTCTAAAATTTACCGTATTTCGGTGTAGATTCCAAAATCTCTATAATAACGGCTATTTTTTTAAAATTACAATTAAATACCAAATATTAGTTTGGGTTGTGCGGTTGGACTCTACACTGAAATGTCATGTACCCAAGTACATGATCAATTTGAAAAAATAAAAAAAAATACGTGGTTACTTTTTAAAAATTACAAATAAATACCTAATATTAATTAGATTCGTAATTTTCTGTGAAGTTAAAGTACTTTTGGTTGGTTATTGTTATCGTATATGAATTAATTTATGGATAAAATAAATGATATCTTGGTCTCACTTTTAACATCGTTGAAAGAATATTTTACAAATATCGTTGGTGATAGATACATCCAAACTAACACGATAGAAGTACTTCTATGTTGATTTCTCAAGATGGTTCCAAACTCTTGTACAAACATGCATGAAAATGTGCACACACATCTATTCAAATTCTTGAACATCAATCTTACTTGATCTTTTAGCTATAAATAAACCATTATTTTTTAGGGATAATGACTTGAAAGGGTAACGAACTTTCGACTTTTGTCACATTTAGTCACTAAACTTTTTTTCGTTATCTAGTTGCCGGTCATAAGGGTAAAATGTGAACAGTTTCAATAGTTTAATGACAAATAGATAACGAAAAAAAGTTTAGTGACTAAATATGAACAAAATCGAAAGTTTGTTTCCCTCTAAAAAGTTCAATGACTAAATGTGAACAAACTTCCTCTTGTATTATGTTTTAGCAAATTATTTATTTTTATTAAATTGTAGCAACATTTGTTGATGAAGAAATCTATGAAATATGAAAAAAAAAAAAAAAAAAAAAAAAAAAACAAAAAACAAAAAAAACAAAACCCTGAAAATATATTTAAAAAAAACAAAAAACCAAAACCGAAATACAAAACCAATGGTTTGACATTTTCCAAAATAAAAAATCAAAATTTTCAATCTGATTTTGGTTTTACAAAAAAATGAACCATTCTCACTGATGTGAATTATGACCATTGGTTTGGCATGCGAAATTTGTGACATCCCATGAATATGTAGTTACAACATCATCTGAACTCGTAATTCATAGTAAGGGGTTAGAGTATCATCGCATGAATACGTAGTTACAACATCGCTTGAACTCGTAATTCATCACCTACAGGTTATGGGCATGCTGGTGTTTCCATTGTGTTGTCTAGAATAGTCCGTGATCGCCATCTATACTTTGGTAGATGACTACATCGCCACATTGCTAGTTAAGGTTATGGTATCTCCTTTCATCCTACATCACATATTCATCATCATCTATATACCTAATTATCATCACCTTTCTATCATCACATATCTCTAATCATTTTATTTCATCACACACCAACTATTTCATCTACCCATGTTTCATCCGCAACATATTTGTAGATATAAAATAAATATACCGTTTAAATCTTTTAAAACATGTATAAAATCATTCATCCAGCATGGACAACAAGTATTCAAATAATATGCACACATATCACGTAATTTATATAAAATACTTCGTATCTATGTGTAAGATGAAAGTAACCATATCTACCATAAAAATCCCACAAATGCTTCCTAACTTCGAACCCCAAGGTTTACTCTACTAAAGCTTCATATTCTTGGCTCTCTGAACCTAGAAGGGTCCAGATCTATCACACCAAAAAGCTCAAGATAGCTCTTCCGCTCACTCTACACACTCAAGCTCGCTAGGGTTCTCACTTATGGGAAAGGTAGTGGCAATTGAAGGCCATAAGTGCCTTTAAATATGGCTCGGGCCCAAAGATTTAGGGTTTCTGCCGACAGCGCAGACTCGTCGAGTCGCCTCACCGACTTGTCGAGTCCATTCATTAATCCGAGTCATCAGTCGCGACCTTACTCGACGAGTTGAGGCGTCAAACTCGCCGAGTCTCTCTTCTTAACTCAAAAGAAAAATACTTAAATTATGATACCTGGAAATCCGGATGTTGCATTTTGTTTTTTTATTTCATATATTTCTTTATCAACAAATGTTGCTACAGTTAAACAAAAATAAATAATTTTGCTAAAACATAATACAATAGGAAATTTGTTCACATTTAGTTATTGAACTTTTTAAAGGGAAACAAATTTTCGATTTTGTTCACATTTAGTCACTAAACTTTTTTTCGTTATCTATTTGCCATTGAACTATTGAAACTGTTCACATTTTACCCTTATAATCGGTAACAGCCGGTCATAAGGGTAAAATGTGAACAGTTTCAATAGTTCAATGGCAAATAGATAACGAAAAAAAGTTTAGTGACTAAATGTGACAAAAATCGAAAGTTCGTTACCCTTTTAAGTCATTATCTCTATTTTTTAAAACAAATATTCAAAGAACAAAATGCAACAATACTCTTCATCCATTCTTAATTTAGAAGGTTATCTTTGGAATTGGAACCTGTTGAAGATACAAGTAAAGTGCAAAGTGAAAACACCAAAACTATGGTCTTCAAAATCTTGAATTCAAAAGACAATGTCTTACAATTATTGCCTCGATTTAGGAGAATGCAACTATACGTTCATTCCAAAATCCAGTTACTCTTTCCAATTAGTTTCCCAAATTTTAAGTTAGTGCCCCCCTACACCTACAAGTCATCGTTCTTCCCTTTTCACATGGCCCCAAAACAATTTACCCCTTTACCTTACCCTCTTCTTCTATTCAAATCCAACTTTTTCTAAACATTTACTCATTATCCATTTCACATGCGCACTCCCTATTCCCTAATCAAACTCACACCTTTCTTCATCTTCAATTCCACCTATTTTCTTCTGTTTCCAATTCATTCTTCATGGGGGTTTTCCAGATTGATACTGGTTTGGATGCTAATGTCTGTGTTCTTGCCACCATCGACACCAGATCCCAACGATGAATCTTGTTTGACCAAATTGTTTGAATCAATGGAAGACCCGAATCATAATCTCATGAATTGGACCAAACCCAGCTTCGAAAACCCGTGTTCAGGCTTCCTCTCGAACCTCGCCGGAGCAACCTGCAACAACGGCCGCATCTACAAGCTTTCCCTGCCGAACCTCGCCCTTCGTGGCTCAATCTCACCGTTTATCTCCAATTGCACTAACCTCCAGGCGTTAGATATCTCAAACAACTCTCTCACCGGACCAATACCCAAACGAACTTCAGTACCTTGTCAACCTCGCCGTCCTCAACCTCTCCTCCAACCGTCTCTCCGCCACCATCCCACCTTCGCTCGCCATGTGCGCTTACCTCAACGTCATTGACCTACACGACAACACCCTTTCCGGCACAATCCCACCTCAGCTCGGCTCCTTAGCACGATTGTCGGTTTTTGATGTTTCCAACAACAAGTTATCCGGCCCAATTCCGGCGAGCCTCGGAAACCGAACGGGAAACCTGCCACGTTTCAATGCGAGCTCGTTTTTAGGTAACAAGGATCTTTACGGGTACCCGTTGGGTCCGATGAAGAGTAAAGGGTTATCGGTGGTGGCAATTGTCGGAATTGGATTGGGGAGTGGATTGTTGAGTCTCGTGTTGAGTTTCACGGTGGTTTGTGTTTGGTTGAGAGTGACGGAGAAGAAAATGGCCGCCGAACAAGAAGGCAAAATCAGTCAGTTAATGCCTGAATATTGATAAATTGGGGGAAATGGAAATGGAAATGGAAATCTCTGTAAAATTTGCAGATTGGTTTGCTTAAAGTACCATCTTTTTTAATTTATTTTCTTGGAATTCACCTAAATTTTGGCGATTTCTTGTTTGTTAACCATCTTTTTGAAGATTCTTCATCTGGGTTTTATCTTGTTTGATGATTTTCTTGAAAACCAAAAAAAAAAAAAGAAAAAAAAAAAAAAGGCTGATTCTTGGAAGGATTGCAGAAAACCCAAATTCAAGAAAGTGAGAGGTTGTGTTTGTGTGAGTCTTTGTAGGGTAGGGAAGAAGCACTTAGCCGTGGGATTGTCTGGTGGTGCAACTAAAAAAAATATGAGTGATGGATTGTAAATTAGAAAGAAATATTTTGATTTGACTACCATCGCTATCATATATTCTTCCACACAAATATTGAAGGAAGATATTTTTGTTTAAGCTTTTGGATGCTATGAAAAGAAGTAAAGAACAATAAAAGAGAAACAAGTCGTGAAGTTTGAAATCAAAACATACCATATTTCCGGATATGAGGATGTCGTTATGGTTATTGGTGTCTTTTATATAGTTGAATAATGTTGTTTAATGATCTTATACTTTATAAAAAGATGTGACATTCCATGAATAAGTGATTGATCAATAATAAATGTTTGGTCAGACTAAATTCCTTGATAGATAAGTCATCTTACTATTTCTTGATATGTTTTTGCTTCTATTTTGTTTTTGGAAGAATTCTTGATATATCTATTTAGCCTTAGAGTCACGGAATTATCTTTGGAAACTAGTATTTAACAATCGTGATAACTTTGTTAACTCAAGTTGAAATGACTAAAACAAGCTTTAGGAAACTTTAAAAGACAATGAATCGAGAAATACATTTGTATATTTATGAGAACTTATATCGAATATGTAACAATCTAAATTTTCAAACAATTTTTTTCGTTTCTAAAACCATGTAAAGCACAATCTCACATTTCTCAAAACCCAAATGTATAGGTTGTTTAAAACACAAGACAACAAAATGTTTAAATAATATCTCAGAATCCTCAAAACAATATAAACTCTAGCTGGTGTGTACAATCAAGTTGGCGCCTTCCTGCGATCCTGAGAAGTACCTGAAACACATTCCACACAACACTGTAAGCACAAAGTTTAGTGAGTTCCCCAAAATACCACACACACAATTAATTAATCTCTCATAGTTATACTCGATAAGGACCCTCCGGTCATGTGTCTCAGCGAAGACCCTCCAGTCTCACAACTCGGGTTGGACCTTCCGATCTGGTATCTCAGTGAATACCCTCTGGTCTCACAGCTCCGGTTGGACCCTCCGGTCTGGTAAATCAGTGAGGACCCTCCGATCTCACAGCTCGATTTGGACCCTCCAGTCCTAACTTCATAAGGCACAGAATAATATGCATCATAAATCACAAAGACATAATGCATAATATATCACATAACTCAGTATAAGCACATAAGACCCTCCGGTGAATACTCTGATAAGACCCTTTGGTTACACAATATTACCACTCAGATAAGTATAGTGAGAAGACTCATCTCGTACGTAAGCAAGTAGGTCTCGTGCTCAACGATCGGTCTAGACTCCACCTACATATCACAATCATCTCTAACTAACACTTTATAACAACAACTCTAAAGATGTTAAGCTAACCCCTTTTCTAACTCTCGGAAATGGTGAAAGACCATTTTACCCCTCCATGGTCTCCATAATCCATAACTTGACTAAACCCTAAAAGTTAACAGAAGTTATCACTCAAGTCAACAGTCCATGTTGACCCAACTCGTCGAGTGCATATATGCGACTCGTCGAGTTCCTTTGTTTCTTCTGAAAAATCGGGAAAATCTAGCTCAACTCGTCGAGTTATCTCACCAACTCGCGGAGTCTATAACGCGTCCATACCATCCGGGAAAACCCTAACCAACTCGTCGAGTCCCTTCAGTCAATTCTATCATTCAGACGTTTTTAAGAAGAACTAAGGCCCTATTGTGACATCCCCAAAATCACGGCCAGAAAAGACCGATTTTGTTTATGCTTTATGAAAATCAGAGTACTTCATTTTATAAAAAGGTTGCGGAATTTGTTCCCAGAAAAACATGATAAATACGTTATTAAAACATTTTCAAAGAAACGTATTTTTATTCATCTTAAAACGTTTGGGATGTCATCGTTAATACAGAAACATAAGCATAAACAGAACTTACAATTATTTACACTAGTGATCTACATCTCTTTAAATCTCTCAGTGTAATGTCACTTCATTTCGTCACCTGTGATATACATAAATTGAGTGGGTCAGGTTGGGAAACCTGGTGAGTACATAGGGTTTTCAACCCACAATAATATAATTATTATGTTTAATCAAACAATCAACCCAATTACACATCCCCATTATCTTCTTTACTCTTTAAGGATTTAACCTAAGATTCGTCTATCCTGCATTCGTTTATTCCGAAGTCCCTTACTTCCAGGGTTATAGGACTGACACTAAATCCATAGCTGCCAATGTTCGTTCGTAAAGCACTAATTCCATAGCTGCTATATCTTACTCATCGGGTACTAAATCCATAGCTACCAACGCTCAACAGGTACTAAATCCATAGCTACCAATTCCTACAGGTACTAAATCCATAGCTACCAGTATCTAACTAATAGGTACTAAGTCCATAGCTACCAATTCCCAATAGGTACTAAATCCATAGCTACCAACGTCTGATAGGTACTAAGTCCATAGCTACCGGTGTTTGTCCCGTAGGCACTAAGTCTATAGCTGCCAATGTATACTCACGTCATCTTCTATCTCTCATTATTCATCTACCCATCATCATACCCAATATATTCGTATATATAAAATACGTATATAGTTTAAATCCTTTAAAACATGTATAAAACATTCATCCAGCATAGACAACAAGTATTCAGATAATATGCACACATAGCACGTAATTTATATAAAATACTTCATATCTATGTGTAAGATGAAAGGGACCATGCACTCACAACACGTAAATTATATAATAAATACTTCATATCTATGTGTAAGATGAAAGGGACCATGCACTCACTGATAGGTGGTGACTCAACACTCGGACAGCGCTTCGATACTCTCAAACAAATTTCCTTCGATAAAACCTAGTATCAACACCACTAGGGTTTAGTCTAACGATAACCGCGACTAATTAATAGTGTACTATTATTATTATTATATAAGCGTTAAATAACACTCAATATAACTCATAATAATAGCCCAAATAATTATTTTAAGGTCCTAATAATGTTACTATAAATAATTAGAAGCTATATTAAAACTAGCGTAGGCGTAGCTCACTTACAGCGGGTTTTTCGCAAAACCGGGCTTCGCTGGAGCAGCGTTTCCCGAGCCGAAAGGCTCTTTTCTCGGAGCCGTCGGGCGCTCCGGGGCTTCCGCCTCGTGCTAGGGAGTTACCCTAGGCTTTAGGGGGTTAGGGAGCTTAGAGAGAGAGTTTAGAGAGAGAAAGAAGAGGTTGAAGGTGTGAGAATGAATGGAACCCGACACCTCTATTTATAGGGGTGCTGACTGGTCTACTCGCCGAGTAGGGGGGACCTACTCGCCGAGTTGGTCCATGTGGTGGCCTTCTGGTGGTGCCACGTGTCCAATTCTGGTGGTGCCACGTCACCCCTATCGCGTATCAGCCTTCAAACTTAGAAAAATCATAACTTTCGCATACGAGCTCCGTTTTCGACGTTCTTTATATCCACGCGTAGGTAAAATCAAGATCTACAACTTTTGTTTAGACTCCGTTGGCTAATTCTCGACCGATCTCAAATTTAACAGTAGGAGGCGTTTAGACTGTTAAATGACCGCGAAGATATCATAACTCCTTCATACGGACTCCGTTTTCGTCTGTCTTTTTACCGTTTAGTTCCTATTAATGAGACCTTCAACTCTCATTTAGGTCGCGTAATCCAAAAACCGCTCGAACTAAAATTCGAGTTTCGGGTGTATACTGCTAAGCCGAATCTTAGAAAAATCATAACTTCCTCATACGAAGTCAGATTTGGGCGTTCTTTTTATCGACGGTCTTAGTTTAACATATTCTACGAATTTCATTTAGATCACTAAGGCTAAAAAGTCCTCCATCGTAAATTCACTATTTACGCTTCCCGGTGTCGTACCGGTTCCGTCGCGAAACTTCGACGGGCCATAACTTCTTCGTTATAACTCGGATTTCGGCGTTCTTTATATGTACGGAAACCTTGTGACATATTCTAAAACTTGGTTAAGATTATTTATTCTAAATAATCTTTTGTTGAAAAGTCATTTTCGACCCCTATTGCCTCTAAATTGACTAGCCCGGATCTACGGGCGTTACACCTATACTCTAGCTCTAGCCTTCTAAGGCTGAAATACCACGTAAAGCTACAAGCTTTACATTCATGCATGACATCTAGGGCTAAGTTTGCCACCCAAAGCTCAATAGAGGGTTTAATGCATAAAAGTTGGTTAATATCTTGATAAAGCTTGAATCTTTAGGCCCAATGGACCTCATAATGTCCAGATCTGAAATCTCAACTTCATGGCATGCTCAAACAACTAAAGGACTCAAAGAGAAGATGAACATGGCCATAAACTCCCTAGTAAAGAGATCTAACAAACAAATAGTCAAGGTAATAGCTTTTTACCTCCAAGTGGCAACTAACACTGAAAGAACACTAGATCCAAGGGCTCCTTCTCGTTCCAAGCCTTTTGCTCCTCAATCTCCTTCCAAGAATGCACTAAAACATACAATATTAGCCTTTCTTTCTCTCTCTCTCTCTCTCTCTCTCTCTCTCTCTCTTTCTCTCCTCTCTCTCTCTCTCTCTCTCTCTCAAATGATAACAACTCGATTAGGTTTCCTCTCAGTGTGTTAAGGTGGTGAGGGAGGCGAGGTAATGGACTTAAAGTCCTTTAAATAGGGTGCAAACCTTGAAAATTAGGGTTTTCACACTCAGC